GGATTTTTATTTGAGTACTGGCTGAACTGGTTGGGACTCTACTTGGAGTTTAGAGAATAAGATATGATCTCATTGAAATGTAGCATTCTAAAGGCTTTGGACAGAGTAAATACCGGGAGAATGTTTTCCATCATGGAGGAGTCTAAGACCAGAGGGCATAGTCTCAGAATCAAGGGGTGCTGATTTAAGAAGTGAAAGAATTTCTTCTCTTAGAGGGTTGTGAATCTTTGGAACGCTTTGTTACAGAGAGCTATGGGGACTCAGTTCTTGTGTATATTTAATGCTGAGATAGATAGGTTTTTGATCTAACAAGAATAATGGGGAAAAAGATTTTAAAAAATGATGATCCATTGATTGGAGGAGAAGGCTTGAGGGGCTGAAATGCCTACTCCTGTTCTTATTTGTTATGACCTTTACATCTTATATCATGAAACATGTCTTGAATGCTTTTATTTTTATACACTGTATGTAATGACTTATGTCATGAGGCAATTTATACATTCGTAGCTGTGTTAACCGTGTTGTCAGTCAAGTATTGGATCAAGATTTATTGTATTGATTTGTAAAATTAAAATGGAAACACTCTGAAAATTTAATTTAATATTACACATATATTTTATTATTAAGTCAGTACAATAGATTGCAAAAGAATAATCCTTGGTGTTCAAATGGCAAATAAACTGCATATCCAATGCTTGTGTCTTTTATTAACATTTCAAACATTATAACACACTAGCATTTCATTCTTAGAACATAATTTCTGGTACAAAGTGGATAGCATTGTGTATGGAAAGTGATCATCTAAGGCTAGACACTTCATATTGTATGCATTTACAATTATGAAACTAATTTAGTCATGTTGACAAACAAGCTCCCAAGACCCACCTGTGCATCTAGTTCAGTCAGATTACGCATTACAAGCCCATACAGATGATTTTCATCTTATCTGTTTATAATTATATTCTTATCTATTCCGCAAAGCTTTAAAGGACTCTGCCTAAGGCAATAACAACTCCACTCATAAATATTCATCTATCTATCCATCTAATTATAAAAATGATACAAACTTGTCTTCATCCTATTGCCCAGAACAAGTTCCAACTCACATTTGAGCATCATCCTTTAATTCAGTAGATCAATGTAGCAAACATTCATTTCAGTCATTCAAATTTTATATTCATCAAACAGCAATCAGGCAGAATTCAGTAGAAATGAGAAATGAGGAATGCAAGTTGAACAAGATAGGAATGGATCCAATCAAATCACTTGAAATGTTAAGACACATTTTAACTTCCATTTATCTTTCTCCCGGTCTCAAAGTAATGACGGCAAAGTATTTTAAATGATGTGTATAACATCATGATTGCAAATCCCGTTGAATAATCACATGGCTCATTAAATACTTTCATGAACATTTTTATTTAGAGGCCTCATCACCTATGAAATCCCAGAGTTTGAAATACAAGAGAATTATCAGTTGTAAATCCCAGGATGTGATAAGGCAATGAATCTCTCAGCATACATTGTAATGGGGGTCAATTGATCTGACCACAAGTGTGTCTAGCTTCAGGTCTTGACAGAGTCTGGCAAACCACTCAGTTGTATCAATCGCTACAAAGTCTCAACAAAGAAATAAAACCAGACCAATCCACGTGGTATCAAACTGGGCACTAGAAAAGACAACCCTGTCAACCCTGTGGAGTCCTCTGTACTAACATCTGGGGGCTCGTGCCAAAATTGGGAGAGCTGTCTCACAGACTAGTAAAGCAATAACCTGATATAGTCATACTCACAGAATCATGCCTTATAGACAATGTCGCAGATACCAGCACCATCATGCCTGGCATATGTCCTATGCCATCAGCAGAACATACCCAGCAGAAGTGGCAGCATTGTCGTATACAATCGGGAGGGAATTTCCCTGGGAGTCCTCAACATTAACTCCGAACCTCATCCGTAGAATGCCTACAGTATTAAAACAGGCCCTTCGGCCTAACAAGTCCCCACTGACCCTCAGAACATCTCACCCAGACCTATCCCCCTATAAGCCACCTAATCTACACATTCCTGAACACTATGGGCAATTTAGCATGGCCAATCCAGCTAGCCTTCACATCTTTGGACTGTGGGAGGAAACCGGAGCACCCAAAGGAAACCCACGCAGACATGGGGAGAATGTGCAAACTCCATACAGACAGTTGCCCGAGGGTAGAATCGAACCTCGGCCCCTTGCACTGTAAGGCAGCAATGCTAACCACTGAGCCACCATTCATGACATCTCATAGTTGTAGATTAAGCATGGACAAGGAAACCTCCTGCTGATTACCATATACCATCCTTCCTCAGTTGATGAATCAGTACCCTTCCTAGTTGAACAACATTTGAAGGAAGCACCGAGGGTGGCAAGGGTGCAAAATGCACTCTGTGTGGGGGATTTCATATACGCAGCAGCACTACTGATTGAACTGGTTGGGTCTTAAGGGACATAACTGCTAGACTAGGTCTGCAGCAGATGGTGAGGGTACCAGCAAGGGTGAAAAACATACTAGACTTAATTTTTATTAAGTTGCCACCTACAGATGCATCTATCCATGATAGTATTGATAAGAGAGATCAATGCATAGTCCTTGTGGAGACAAAGTTTCATTTTCATCTTAAGAATGCCCTTTGTTGTGTTTTGTGAGTCTATCACTATCCTAAATGGGACAGATTTCAAACAGATCTAACAATTCAAGACTGGCCATCTACGAAACATTGTGGACCATTAACAGCATCATAATCGTACTCCAGCAGATTCTGCAACCTCATGGCCCTGCATATACCAGCTCAAACCATTATCATCAAACCAGGGGTCAACCCTGGTTTAGTTGAGAGTGCAGGAGGGTATGCCAGGAGCAGCACCAGGCAAACCTGAAAATGAGGTGTCGACCTGATGAAGCTGCAAAATAGGACCACCTGTATGCTTGGCCTCGGATTCAGCGCAGACCTGGCAAACTGGCCTGCAAGCTTGGTGTGGCAGCCTTCCAGCTCAGTGAGGTGACCTTTAGGCCCGGCGGGGCAGTCTTTTAGCCCGGCATGGTGGTCTTTCAGCTCCATGTAGCAGTCTTTCAGTGTGGCGGACTCTCAGCCTGGCGTGACCTCAGCGTGGACTTCCTGCCTCAAGGTGATTCCTTGAAGTGCAGTCCCATCCTGGCAAAGCATTTAAGAAAGACTAATCTTTGTACTTTCAGTTTTATTTCATTTTTCTACTTAAAACTAAGAAGGTCTGCAATTTATAATTAATCTTATCTCATATGCTTTACACTATACTGTAATTACTGCAATGTTTAACTTTTAACTTTCTTCTTTTTTTCTACCTTGTTCTTAAGATTCTGTACCTGGGGTATTTGGACCTAAGATGGCATCTATTATGGCAACATTATACATTTCCACTGTACTCCTGTACTTGAGAACATAAATAAATTCAAAATCAAATCAAATGTCAAACAGCATTAGCACAAGTGACAGTCAGAGATAAGTGATCTCACAACCAAGATCTAAGCTCTGTAGTTCTGCTACATCCATCCATGAATGGATAATTAAACAACTTACTTGAGAAGGAGGCTCCACAAATATTTGCATTGTCACCGAGGGAAGAGATCAACACATCACTGCAAAAGATCAGGCTTAAACATTTGTAGCAAACTTCAGTCAGAAGTGTCAAGTGGATGATTTATCTTAGTCTCCTCCAGTGGTTCCCAACATCACAGATACCAGTCTTCAGCCAATTCAATTCACTCCATATGATTTCAAAAAAAGGTTAGAGACACTGGAAAGTGCTAAAGCTATGGGCTCTGACAATATTCCAGCAATTGTACTGAAAACATGGGCTTCAGAACTTGTTGTTCCGATAGCCAATCTCTTACAGTATCTACCTGACAATATAGAAAATAGCCCAGGTTTGTGCATACACAAAAAACTGGACAAATCCAACCCAGCCAACTGTCACCTCAAGAGTCTACTTTCGTTTCTCAGTAACCTGCTCAGTGACACCCAGTTTCTGTTCTGTTAGAGTCACTCAGCTCCTGACCTCATTACTGCCTTGGTTCAAACATGGACAAAAGATCTGAATTCCAGAGGTGGGGTGAAAGTGACAGCCTTTGACATCAAGGCCACTTTTGACTGAGTGTGGCATCAAGGAACCCTAGCAAAACTGGAATCCGTGGGAATGAGGGAGTAAAATCTCCACTTATTAGAGTCATACCTAGCACAGAAATTCACCAAAGATCCTTACAGTGCCTTTCAAACCCACAACCATTTCCATCAAGAAGGACAAGGGCAGCAGATACATGAGAACACCACCACCTGCAAGTTTCCCTCCAAACCACTTGTCATCCTGACTTGGAAATATATCACAGTTCCTTCATTTTAGCTGTGTCAAACTCCTGGAAGTCCCTCCCTAAAGTGAATTGTGGTTCTACTTACAGCGTGTGGACTGTGATGGTTCAAGGAGGTACCTCACCACCACTTTCTCAAGGGCAATGAGGGATGGACAGTAGTGTAGACCAGCCACCCCCATAAATGAATAAAGAGAAAGAACCCACATGGGCTGCGAATCAAATGAGGAGAAAGTAAGCGGAGGGAAGAACTTTAAAACGTTTACTTAAAGCCACTGTTTCATAGAATGGCATTTTGAAGCTTTTACTTCTCACTGGCACACCAAAAGTGAAAAGCATCAGAAAGGAAATGGTTACCACAACTCAGTTTCATTTGCTTGCAGGACCAATTCAAAAGGAGAATGATTGCTTGCATAAAGCTTTGATTTTGAAGAACTGCCACTAATTTATCCAGTCCCATTGTCTAAGAACAAATGGCAATTATTCATTTCCTGCAAGTGTTGTTTCTCTGCTGCTGATGAGAATTACCATAAAATTATTTTCAAATTCTTTCAAAGGAGATGTCACTACTTCCCTACTTACATCAACGTACAACCCCACCAGCCCCCACACTATTGTCTTTTGTTGTGATAGGCCCACTGATTCATTGTAAGCAATTATACAGCCAGTCTGATAACAACTTTAATATGTTTTTCAATCAGAGCGTGGTCGAGATCAAGAATGCACTATCTGAAAGATGGTGGGAACTGACTCCGTGAATAATTTTTAAAGGGAGCTGGGCAGTTCCTTGATGATGAGGAATTTTTAGGATTATTTTACAGGGGCTGGGGGTCAAAGCATGTTTGCTTTCGCAAAGGGAAATGATAGGCTGAATGGTCTCCTTCTGTGCTATAGCTTTATGGAAAGAGATAAAAGAAAGGTCCAAAGATATTGGGCTGAATTTTCCCAGGCCCTGAAAGATGTGGGCAATGGTGAGACAGTTGGGGAAATATTGTGAAAATGGAGGAGATGATATCCAGAGTGGCAGGTCTCTCGTGGGTGGAGGTTGATACCTGCAGAAGACAAGAAAGAGAAGGAATTGCAAAATGGGGTAAAGAATCTTGAGCATATTAAATATACATTCTCAGTGGTGGTAATAGGAGAGCAATGCAGCACTTGACAATGAAACTTACTCAGTTGCTAGGACATGGAGGTCTTGGCATCACCATCTAAACAGTCATGGTCCTCTCCCACTAAAACATGAATTCTCTCCTCAGACTGGATGAAGAGATAGATGTCGGGCACTCCACCATTCATCTAAGTTCATTCAGCCGTATTGTGGGCCATTTTCTCCTGCAATGAGACAAATGGATGGATTGAGTGAGATGACAGAAAGCTGGCCCAGCTGTTAATGTTGGTGCAGAAAGAGGAATGAGTGAAATGTAGAAAGGGCAAGAAGGATTAATAGCTTGGGAGCATAGTGTAGTTGATATAAGCAACAGAGGGATTGCTAGATCAGGATTCCTGGTTGGAAGTGTATGCAATAAAAGAGGTAGGGTGAACATGAGATAATAAAGAGAAATTTTACCTTTGCAGAGCACAGAAGGTTATTAACCTTCTTCCTGCTCTGCTGGGCATTTCTCCAGATCATGGATACTGCACTGACCCGACAGGCAATTTCAGATGAGGCTGGCAGGATCAGGTGCTGTGGTCTCCTCTGGTAGTCCTGAGGAAACAGGATGAGCATCCTGTCCATCACCCTTACAGCCAGGACCTCCAGCTCACGGTCAACAAATCCAGGAAACCAACTTGCCTGTATATTGGCCAAATCTGGGGCAATTTCACATTCTGCAACTGTGAAAGGCTATTCCTGCCTTGCAGAATTTGAATTACTGTGGAGCTGGGCTCTTTAAATATGATAAAAACTAAAAGAATGATTAAAAACCAAAAGATACTGTAAATCAGGAACAAAAACAAAGTTGCTGGAAAAGCTCAGCAAGTCTGGCAGCATTTGTGAAGGAAAAAACAGTTAATGTTTCGGGTCCAGTGACCCTTCCTCAGTTAATCCAGTAAGTCCCAGTAACAATGAGCATTTCTGTTGCTGGTGAGCACGAGATAGTGCGAGGGGAATACCATGGCGTATCTTTAAGGAAGTGAGCAGTGTAAAATTGTATGAGATAATTCTCTGAAGCTCATAGAGGGAAACCGTCCACAAAACTTCCAAGCTTACAAATTTTGGGAAGATTCAGCCCATTTAAATAGTTAAGCAGAATAATGAAGTAAGGACAGAAATGTCCGAGAACACGATGAAACAAAGATTATTGCCTCTTGCCAAAGGAGAATTTAACAGAAGGGTGGCAAAACAAACCCAATGGCGCATGCCAACCTGTTGGCCTGGTATAAGCAACAATTCTGGCTGTGGCCTTTTCATCCATGCAGTTCCAGCATTGAGATTTTAATTGGATTGATCTATTGTCTCTCTCCTTCTCCCTGGGAAATCGACCCAGAGGCGGGATAGCATCACATAGCCCATAGCCCATAGCAGGAGTTTCCAAAACTTCATCGACCTTTCCAACTGCAAAGCCGAGTTTGGAAAAGCAAATCTTCATTATTTTCATTGTGTTTTTGTGCTAAGCAAAATATCCTAAGATTTACGCATTTTATTCACTGAGCTAAAAATGCAGAACTAATAGACACTAATGAAATCATGTTTCTTTACAGCACTCACTTCTGATTCACTTAACGGACATTACCGTTTCACTGTTCATTACACTGTATTCTTAAATTGACTACTCACTTCCTTGATAATCTCAACGTTTTTCTTTGACAATATGGATGGAAATTATTCCAGTCAACACTATTTAAAAGATTGAATTGATCTATCATGTGAGAAAAAGAAAGAAATTACATTGAGAACCTTCAGGATTATTCATTTATATCAATTTTAGGAACTTGCAAGTGTACAAATTAGGAGCAGGGATATGCCATTTGGTACCAGAGGAAATAATACTCTCCATGTTTTTAGAAGAATCTAAAGGCATTGGAAATGGTGCACAAAGATTGATGAGGTAGATATGAGAACCATTGAGATTCCAGGTGGAATTCAGATGATCATAAATTCTACAAGTAAATTTAGAGCTTCAAATTGCCCTCTAGAGAGTACCTGCAGAGTATTCAGGGGAGCATATCTCCTACCTGAGCCATAGTGAAGATCTGCTGCTGGAAGCCCTGTTAACGCATGGTGGCTCACTGCTACCTCACAGCATCTGTGACCCAGGTTTGATTCCAGTCTTGGTTGACTGTGTGGAGTTTGCACATTCTCCCTGTGTCTATGTAGGTTTCCTCTGGGTGCTCTGGTTTTTGCCCACAGTTGAAAGATGTGCAGGCTAGGTGGATTGGCCGTGCTAACTTGCTCAGTGTCTAGAGATACACAGGTTAGGTGGATCAGCCATGGGAAATATAGGGATGGGGTGGGTCTGGGTTGGATGGTCTTCAGAGGATTGGTGTGGACTTGATGAGTTGAGTGGCCTGTTTCCGCACTGTAGGGATTCTATAATTCTATACTATAAGGTGACTAAATCTGCACACAGCATAACAGGTATGCTTCACTGATGCACTGTATATTATTTTAAGCCATTTGGTTACTTTTACTCCAAATCCATTGTAACAAGAGCTAACACATCTTTTACTTTCCTTATTGCTGACTGTACCTAGATTTCTGTGTAACTTTCTGTGATTCACTTTTAATGACATCTAAGCTCCTCGGAATGGAAATGTTTTCCACTGCGTCACCCCTCCAAAAACATTCAATCTTATTATTTTTCCCAGCAGATTGGAAACTTCACACTTTTCCGTGTTGTATTCTATCCAGCATGTTCTTGTCCACTCATCCATCTTGTTCATATTCCTCTGTAACTATTTTGCCTTTCCCTCCATCATTCATTCTGCCACCTACATATGAACTTACAAATTAGGAGCAAGAGTAGGCCATTCAGCCCCTTAAGCCCACTCCACCATTCATTAAGGTTCTTGACAAATCTGATTATTTCCTCAACTCCACATTTCTAACTATCACTGCTAGCTCCCTTTGGCTCCCTTGCTTGTTAAGAATTCATGTACCATCCCCTTAAAAATATTCTGTGGCCAACCTATACTGGTCTCTGAGGTAAAACGTTCTAAACTATCTAAAAGAAAAAAAAATCCACCTCACCTCTGTATTAAATGGAAACCCCTGTTATTTTTTATTCATTTGATTCATTCTACATAAATGCCTCCTCCTACTCCTCTTTGCTTAACCCTGTCAGCATATCCTACCCCTGAATTTTAAACTGTTTCCTTGTTATGGCCTTCCCCGCCAGGGAAAATGCACAATTTCAGCATCTATCCTGCCAAATCCCTTCAGGATTTTGTATGTAACTATATCAGCAACATATTTAGACATGCTACACAGTTACTTATTCTAAGTCGTTAATATTGACAAAGACATTAGGTTTACTTAAGGGAAATCTATATGAATATATGAGGAAGAAATCAATTGAAAGATATGCTGATAGGTTTGAGCAAAGACAGTTAAGAGGTGGTTTTTATATAGAATGGATCAAATACTCTATTTATTCTAAGAGTAACAAAGTAAATCGAGATCCTGATCAAAACCATAAGAAAGAATAAAATAGACTCTCAACAAAATACAGACATAGAGGTGATTGATGCCTGATAGTACAATATCTGCTGATAGTACAATAAAGATACCACTTCAACCCCTTGTGTGCATTAAAAATAGTAGTTAAAGCTGATGCTTTTCTTTTTCTCTTTATCATTTGTCTTTCTTTTGAAGGGAAGATATTTTGAAAACTGTCAAAACATTGCTTTCATATGCTCTTTGGTACTCTCTTTCTCAGCAAGAATCATAGTTTAAGGTCTCAAATTAAAGGCCTGGTATGCATTCTGTTAACCCCTCAAGGCTATTTAAAGATCAAAGCTAATTATCTCTTTCAACATGCAAAATCTAACTCAGAAGATCATGCAGTTTCTTCCAAAAAATGGTATAACTGCGAATACTACAGGGGTCTGGTCAACTCTTGACTACAAATGAAAATTGTTCTTGCGGTCTAGTTATAGATTGAGTGTCAACTGCCGCACAGTGAACAGCACTCTGGCTTGATCGGAATCATAAGATGCTGGATTCAAATCCCACTACAGGGCTTGATCTCAAAAATTGATGCTGACTCGCTGTCAGAGATGCTATTTTGAAGATAAGATGATAAACCAAGGCCACATCCACCTCATTTAGTAGATTTTAAAGGATTCATGATGTTATTTTGAACAAAAACAGATGAGCTATTCTCAGTGTCTGGCCAATATTTATCCTGTAGCAAAATCATTAAAAAGACAGTTATATGGTCATTATCATATTGCTGCTATGGACGTTTTCTTTATGGAACTGACTGCCATGTTTCACACAGTACAACTGCAACTAAGGGCTCTTGTAGCGCAATGGTAGTGTTCCTTCAGAAAGGCCTGGCTTTAAGTCCCTCTTGCTCCAGGTTGAGTAGAATATATCTACAACAGTGACTAAAGTTCAAGAGTAAGTAAAGTGTCTGGGATTAGCAAAATAATGCCATATCATTGAAAGTCTTTGGTTATAAGTTTGTCATTCTTGGAAAACAATTTTGGGAGCAACTAAGGAAAGTACCTTGTTCATTTAAGAAATAAATTACATGCGTATAGCACCTTTTTGATCTCAGTGTGGCTCAAAGCACTTTTGTGCCCCACAAAATACTTTCAGTGCAAATAAAGCAAAATACTGTGGAAGCTGGAGATCTGAAATGAAAGCAGAAAATACTGATGAAACTCAGTATTTTGTGGAAAGAATTTTGTGGAAAGAAACAAAACCTGTAGAAGAATCTGATTAGACTCAAAATTTTAACACTGCCTCTCTCTGCAAGTGTGTTTATTGTAAGCACAGGTAGACAGGATAGTGAAGAAGGTGTTTGGTATGCTTGCCCTTATTGGTCAGTGCATCGAGTACTGGAGTCGGGAGGTCATGCTGAGGCTATACAGGACATTGGTTAAGCCACAATTGGAATACTGCATTCAATTTTGTTCTCCCTGCTATAGGATTGATGTTGTGAAAGTTGAAAGAGTTTAGAAAAGATTTACTTGGATGTTGCCAGGTTTGGAGGGCTTGAACTATATGGAAAGGCTGAATACAGTGTGGCTATTTTCCCTGGAGCGTCAGAAGCTGAGAGATGACCTTATAGAAGTTTATAAAATCATGAGGGACATAAATGGGTTGAATAACGAAGGTCTTTTCCCCGGGTAGGGGAGTTCAAAACTAAAGGGTATAGTTTTAA